TACCCAGGTGACCATTATGGCCTGTGGGCCTCTTATGTGTTTTTGGTGAAGCAGAATATTTTAAATTTATTGTAAGACATTTTATTGTTCATCACTTCTAAATGTGTCGCATTTTATTGTTCTATCAGGATTACTGTGACCACATTAATGAGATAACAAACAAACTTGTTACTGTCATGGAAGGGGTCATAGCTCAACAGCTGTCAAAGGTCAGTATTAATATCAAAGGTCAGTATAGAGGTCAAAGGTCATCCACCATGAATGTATCTATTAAATCTGTAATTTTTTAAAAAATTGTATTTCTCACATATTTTCTTTTTCATCTGAATTTAATACAAAAGCTTCTTTTGTAAATAAAATGATCAGTTTTGCTTCTTTAAATTTGTAAATAAAATGTTTAGTTTTGTTTCTTTTTCAGTGGGAGGTGAAGGCCCCTATGCCCTCTATGTGTTTTAGGTCCATCTGTAAACAAATCAGCAAAATGCACGAAGCTGTCCTTGACATTTTGTTGCCAGATCAAATCAAGGTCAGTTCTTACCGGTAGTTTTTAGTTCTACTAGTCAGAGACCAGAAGAGCTTATGCGATGGTAAGGTGTCCGTCGTCCGTCTATCTGTCTGTCTAGCTGTTTAGCTGTCTATGTAAACAATTTTTCAAAATGCTACTTTTCTTACAGTTTTGGTCCAATTTTAATATAATTTGGCAAACAAGTAGACTACACTAAGATACATAAAATAGTTCACCGGTTTTTGATTTCAATGAACGGTGTTGCCATGGTTACTAAAAATAGAATTTTCTTTGTAATTCCTTTAAAACGTTACTCCTTCTACAGTTTTGGTCTGATTTTAATATTATTTAGCACACATGTAGACTACACTAAGATACATAAAGTTTGATGGCAATGGCTTTTTTTCTCATCCTTTGTTATAAGTACAAACCAGTAGAGCTACAGTCTAGACAGAGACTTCTGATTAACCAGTAATATCGTATATGTATCATTTAAAATACGCCAACATTACATGTTTAAACTTCAGTTGTGTTATTTGTTACTATTTTCATGTTGTTGTTTTTTCAAATATGTTCTATGTACTAATCCTGGGTTTGTGTTCGTGCATTAAAACAATTCGGGAAAAATTCAAAAATGATGAAGAAAAAAATATATTTATAGAAAATAGTAAAGTTAGTAAATCATGATCATGTCTTCATATTCTCACTTGTTGTTTGTCTGTACATGTATTACAGGAGCTATTTACCAAGATTAACAGCTGTTTTAAGAAGTTGATCAGACAGCAGTTAGTTACACTAGAAGTCTCCAAAAATGGAGGACCACAACACGGGTAAATATCTGACTTCAACATGGGTAAAAATCTGTTCTGAACATGGGAAAGTATCTGACCTCAACACGGGTAAATATCTGACCTCAACATGGGTAAAAATCTTACCTCAACACCCATAAATATTTGGCCTAAACACTGGTAAATATCTAAACTCAACATGCGTAAATATCTGAACTCAACATGAGTAAATATCTGAACTCAACATCAGTAAATATCTGACCTGAACACAGGTAAATATCTGTCCTAAATAGTGATGGGACATCGGTTAATTTTCATAATCGATCATTGGTTGGAATCGGTTACTGCTTCCGATGCGATTTTACCGATTATAATCGGATGTCATAGTTTGGTATATAAAAAGCAGCCTGTGACATTTATTTCAAATTATTTCTTTAACACGGATTTATAAAGTATGTAATTTATTGTTTTTGTTGTTGTTTTGCTTATTTCACACTTAATTTATACATACAATGTCATGCATGGTTTAAACTTAACTAAAATTTCCACTAGGTTTTCTCAAGTTTCAAATTTAGGAGCTTACATCTAAATCTACAATCTCTGTGATTTTTTAACCCTTTGAATATATCACTGGGTCAATTAATTAAAGTCTAGATATAAAGTGCATTTGTTTAAAATAAAAATTGATGTTCAAATTACTTTGTAAAATAAATTTCACATAAATATTTCATCATAGAAAATGAAATTGAATTTAATTAACAATTTTACTATCTTTTTTTGCAAGGTTATATTCTTAATCCCCTTTTCCTGGTCATTGGACTACACCATCACATGAATAAGATATTTTTTTTTAGTTTAAATATTTTTGAAACTTATCTGGAATAAGTAGAAGCCTAATAACACTTCAATTTCTTAAGACTGAGTAATTGGGAATAATTTAATTGGAGATCTACCACGTATAATCGATGCACAGAGGCATGGAGGAAATTCGGATTAGAAAAAAAGACGATCGTTTTCAAGATTTCACAAATCATGTAGAACTGGTAAATGGATTAGATGTAGGGTATTTACGAACAATAGGACCATGTTACTTTTATTTTTTTAATTGATTGGAATTTTTAAGGAAAAAAAAACATGGGGAAAAGCGTCTGTTTTCAGTAAGGGGACTGGACCGTCCTGCAGATTTTTAATTCGCCACGTGGGCGAACAAGTTATAAATTTTATGAGCCTACACAAAAATTTACTCGTGGTTCCTAAGCATTTTTGCTTCGTGCAAGTTGGGAAGTATTTAAAGCACATGCCAATTTTCTTTCATTAAGAATAAATATATTTTAAACTAGAAATAAATATAATTCTGGAATGTACTTTATTAGAAGTATTAGTATGTTTCCGATGATCGATTATGAAAAATTATAATCGATCATCGGAATCGGTAGCATTTTTTCGTCGACAATTCGATGATTTCCAATTATCGGTACAACACTAGTCCTAAACACGGGTAAATATCTGACCTCAACATGGGTCAATATCTGACCTCAACACGGGTAAAAATCTGACCTCAACACAAAAAAATATCTTACCTCAACACAGGTAAAAATCTTACCTCAACACACGTAAATATCTGACCTGAACACAGGTAAAAATCTTACTTCAACACAATAAATGTCTGACCTGAACACAGTTAAATATCTGAACTCACAATGGGTAAAATTCTGACATCAGTATGCCATTGGGTAAAAGAGTTATATATCTGACTTCAAAAAATACACTTTAAGATATGAATATGCTACCAAATATCTCTCTACACACTGATGTATGTAGCTTAAAATCCTAAACTGAAAGGTATTTTTGTGATTTCAGACTGGTGATGTCCGACTTAGCGTTCTATTCGGGAACATTTAAAACTTTACGAGGGTTGGAGAGTTTAGCACAAGACATGAACGAAGTGTGGGACGTCAGGTGACAGCGCCCTCTACAGTCTGATGTTGTCATTATTTCTCTGTGTGCAATAATAAGACACTGGTCATTGAAGGGGAGACCACTCACTCTCTCATGTCAACATGTTCTAAGTTATTATAACGGCATTTTTAAAAACCAAACTTTTTTATTCGTATGCATTTTATGAGACAGTTTATTCTCTGATGTCTGTGATTTCTGAAGCTAAAATGTGTCAGTAATATTTATACAAATAATAAAAATTATTTATTGACATTTTTGTTTCTTTTTTCCCGACTTTTTCATGAGATTTGGGTCTTTAAAAAAAATTTAGGGATAAGTTTGGAGCATTTTTCTTTCATAAAAATGTAATGATGCCATATTTGCTATCATAAAAAAACAGTGACATTTTGGAGATCAGTCTAAAGAACATTTAGGCTTTGAAATGGTGTACATGTAGCTGTACTGTGCCTATCTTTCTCTAATAAACTTTTATCAGGATGATGTAAAGAAGATCCAAGAATCCAAATCAGAAAAAAATCATTAGGAATACATTTGGTGCTACAAAAAATCAAACTGTAGAACACATTACAAGAAATTAAAAAAAAATGTACATGTACCTTTTTGTGAGCTCAGTGCTCACAACTACTTTAGTTTGAAGATGGATTACCCAAAAGCATCGCGAAAGAGAATCTTAAAAGCATCTACATGTACCAGCCTACCAGGTAAAAAATTTAAATTAAGATTTTATTAACTAATAACAAACTAAGAAGAAAAAAAAAAACAACAGCAAGGCCGTATTTGATGAAGAAAAAGGGCGTATAAGGCAAGGACAATCCCCCGCTTTGAGACAAAATATTTCTCAATTTTCAGAATTCACAGAAAAATTATATTTTTCTATAATCATTTTCTCAGTAATGCCATCCTCAAAACATGTTATTTTATTTTTCTGAAGGACTTATTTTTTTATTTTCTTTATTTCAAAGTTGACAGGAAGTTGAGTGGAAAATGGGTTTTCTAGAGCTATAAAAAATGAATTTTGAACATGAATGGGTCAAGTCTCTATTCTTCTTTAACGCTTTAATGATGGAAACATAAATGTGAAATTTATTTCATTTGTCCACAAAATAGAATTTGAACCAATTCTATATGAAAATCGAAAATTTCTGAAAAAATTTACGCTTCAACAAACCCGTTTGTTTAAATCACACTGACAGACGTTGCTAATGCATATACTTCATAGCGTAGTGGTTAAAGTGGTCGGTCTCCGACCAAACCCTGCGCTATGGAGAGAGTTCGAATCATACGACAACCTTTTTCTTTTTTGTTTTCACATATCTTAAAAACATGAGTAAAAAATTAATTATTGATATACTATTAAAACAGTGAAATACAGAATTAAATGTGTAAAAGATTATATAAATAATTTAATTTAGAAAATATAACTTTTAGAATTGAGAAATGCCTTTTATCAGAGCGGGGGATTGTCCTCACCTTGTACGCCTCCATTCTTACATGTATATTGGAAGTATTTTCTGGAAGTGTAGTTTTATTTACATATTAATAGATTAATTGGTAAAAAAAAATCAGTCAAAGTGACTCGGGTGAGCATTGTGGTCTGTAGACCTCTTGTGTTCTTGATGGAGCCAAAGTAAATAGAATATGTGGAAACAAAAGAAGAAAAAAATAAAGGAAAGAACAAACTAACAACGAAAAGAATTGAATTTCAGCCTTTCTTTTAGCTAGGTGTACAATGTTTTATGATATTTTGCAGGATGGATTTTTGGAGTGGCTGACTTCCAGTGAATTTGTTGCTTTGTCTCGAGAGGTTGAGAAGTTTATCACTGATTGTGAGACCATTAGTGGTCGTCGCTGTATGTCACTGCATGAGATTCTGTCTACAGTCACAGGTGTGCTCTACACTATAGTTTGTAAGCTACTGGAAATGATGAATGAATATCATGGAGTTAATGGTGGATGTATGAATCTTACCCTTTTTATTTTTGAATTCTGCAGGCACTTAAATTTGTGAACAGATTTCATGAAGAAAGACAGACTAAACTCAGGTAATCATTGCAATGAAGATAGTTTATAGGGTAAATTCTCTGTGATTTATTTTGGAATAACTGCTTATGAAAACATGTAAGAATTTCAGCATTTATAAGAATCTTTTCTGTTATCGTAGCCTCATTTTGGACAATCCCTGATGAGCGATGGAAACAAGCAGATCCGCGACGTCCTAGCAGAATTTCTAGAGCTCGTTAATCATATCACACAAACAGGTAAAAATCATTGTACACAATGTATATCAAGAAAAAAGCTCACGTTAATGTTTTTAAAGTAATCTCAAAAGTCCTTAGATTATGCAATGCATCTCAGCTTATAAAACATAGCATTTGCTTTATAAATATTTTTTAAACCAGAAATAGAATAAGTACCATGACTGTATTTATAATAAATTGTTGGACTTATAACATTTTTCAGGCTTGTTAAGTCTACCAGAAAGGACTGCAGATTCAGGTATGTTCCTTCATTTTGTATTTATTTTCTAACTGATTATTATTCATAATACAAGTTCTAAATGAGTACTGTAAACCAAGTATTGTACTGTCCATTTTTTATTTGTAGTTGACAGGTTGTGAACTAATAGGCAACAATTAATTTCTGCAAACAAATGCATGTAATAATTTTGTTTTCTTTCAGAAATGTTTTGTATCAATTTTAAATATTACATATACATGTATCTTTCCATTGACTAGGTAAAATTCTACCGTAAATACTGCTCCTACATTATCCTTGGTGTTCTGTATTTATTGTGTTAGTTTTTTTTGTGATACAATATTGTTACCATAATGGACTTGATAAAATAAGGGATTATAATAAAAACTGCCAGCAGTGGTACTATCTCACAGATCTCGTGAATATTTATTGCATATATATAATACTTGTACTTGGTTTAACTGTTCTACTTCTGCATGATAAGTTATACAGTAAAACTTGGTTAAAACAAAGTCACTGGGACCTATGAAATTATTTGCTATTTCTGTAATTCGTTATATCTGTATAAGAAATTTGTTAAATTTATATAGCTGTGGATCAAAGATACCTGTACTTCGCTTTATCCGTGAATTTGCAATATTTGTGGTCGTACTAACCGAGTTTTACTGTAAATATTATATTTATGATGTGTGTGATGTTACATGTACTATTATATGACTTGTTTCTGTGTTCAGATAAAGGCCCTACAGAAGTGTTGGTTGTTGAAGATCAGACATTTGCAGTTGTACTGTTGTAGGGTAAGTATTTACTTACTTATTTTAATATTTAACTTCTTGGTGTCCCAAAGAACGTGTGAGGCCATAAGGTAGGAAAGGTCTCGTGTGGTACACTGATAGTGCACTTGTTGTCAAAATAGATTGTTGTTTTTCTCTTTTATGGCAAGTTGATTATATGACAAAGAAGCTATTTCTTCTTGTATTGGAAATGTTAATGTTCAGTTTGAGAATATGTTAAACTATGAAAAAAGTCATCTTCCCACACAGCACAGTATAGATGGAGTTTATTTATTTATATTTATTTGTTTATAGGATAGATGTTTATTTGTTTACATTATGTTTATTTGTTTACAGTATAGATGTTAATTTGTTTACAACACAAATGTTTATTCTTGTTTACATGTTTATTTGTTTACAGGACGGTGCTGATGCTGTTGAAGATGATGGTGGAGTATTGTCAATGTGTCAATGACATTCCGTCAGCGGCACCAGATCTGTTGTCTAGACTGGTAGACCTCTTCAAAGTGAGTCTAAACTTCATTAAGACCATTAAATCATTATTTAGGCCAAAAAAAATAATCAATAGTTTCTCAGGCACCGCTGCATCAGTTCAAAAACGGCCGCATTGATCAATTTTATTGACATATTGAAAAGGGAAATAACTCAATTTTCTATTTTTCCAAGTTCAAAAAAAGAAAATCGAGTTATCCCCCTTTTCAGAAATGCTAAGAAAGAAGTTTTTATTAGTAAAACAATATATTTCTTCTTAAACTAAAGTATTTTATCAGTTAACTTTTAAATAAATGTTTGGAATAACATTATTCAATGGTAAATACATATTATAACTTATTTCAGAGAACAAAACTTAAGAAAAAGTAGACATAATCATTTTACTGTACAAATGACTTACTAAAAAAAGGTGTAAAACCTGCTTCCACAAAAAAAAAGCCTGCCTGCCGCATTGAATTTAGGATTTTTTGGCCTGAGAAACTGTTAATTTTTTTTTGGCCTTATATAACAGGGCAATCCCTTACTTTTAAATTAAAATATAATTATGTAAACCATGCTACTTGTTTGTGAAATATCAGAATTAAAATAGGAGGTGACGAAGAAAATGTATGACGTTCAATGTTGTAGATTTTCAATGCAAGAACTTGCCAGCTGGTGTTAGGTGCAGGTGCCCTTCAACTTGTGGGACTGAAAACCATCTCCACAAAAAATCTAGGTAAAATGTGCTCTTACTAAAGCATATCAGTATCTTAATCTTTAACTGCATTTTGTTTGTTGGAAAGAACTTGTTATTGAGAACCAACAGAATAGAGTTTATACAGAACAAAGTTAATCAGAGGAAATTCAGATTGATTCTTTTTGTTCCCAGCTCTGGCTTCCAGATGTTTACAGTTGGTTGTGTACTTCATTCCTAAGGTCCGGATTCATTTTGAGGAGAGACTGGCTTCTAAAAATAAAACAATGCTCAAACACCTGGACCAAGTACAAAAGGTAAACATACAACATTGTATTGTATTTGGGGAAGGAAATTTATATTGTCTAAGTATAGACTTTTAATATATTGATGTGTTTCATAATATAACCTTTCTATAAATGTGATCTTCTACAGTTTGTATATCTGTTAAGTCTACTTTTGCGATCTGTTGTTCTTCTTCATTGTGTGTCCTGAGATAAATTTTGAATAATAACTACCTTTTCTCAAAAACTGCTAAAGGAATTTCAACAAATTTCAACATATGACATCTATGGGTTTTTTTAAAATAATATGGAAACTTAATAAAAAAGAACACATCTTTAAATAAATATTAGTATATATGGAAAGGGTAATAACTCAATATCCTTTTGCCATTTAAAAGATAGAGATTGAGTTATTTCCTTTACAGTATGCCAATAAAATTCATCAGTGGCATGGAAAATTTTACTCTAAAACAATTATTCTCTTATGTAAATTACTCAAGATAATTAACCACATTTTTTTCAATGACTAAGAGAGGCCAAATGTAAGGGGGTAATCCTTGGTTAACATTTATTTACGGTTATTGGGTAACCATTTATTTACAGTTACATGTTGTCAGGGAATTTAGTGACAAATGGAAATATATTAGGCAAGTAAGAAGGTATATTCTTTTAGTTTTTGCAGAGTAACCTGGGTCTATTTTACTGAGGCTAAATGTATGATATGATTAACTTATTCATCATTAAATAATTCTTGCAGATCAATGATAATAAAAAAGAAAGAAAGAACTTAGAATTTATCATTTTAGGTGTGTACATCACATTGTTGATATGGTTAAAAACATCTTTGACTTATTATTAACATTTTTCTTCAATTATAGTTTCATTGCAAATACTTGATTTTCTTCACTTGTCTGTTTTCATTCTGAGCAACAAACAGATTGTCATTTGTATCTATACACAGTCCCCAGGGTCCACGCAGTCCACAGTCTATGTAACGGAGGAACTGTCCATCCTGGTCTATGATGTGGACACAGTCATTCTTATAATCAGCTGTAAGGATGTGACTCTGACTGTCTGTGGTGATTCCTAGTGGATAGAATGGTTGGTTCTTTGGAGCAGGAGTATGTCCAGTGTATCTGAATCTCAGTTTCCCGGCCTGATTGACCACCACTACTGCTTTAGCTCCAAAGTCAGACATACAGATATCCAGGTTCCTGTTTTCTGTTATGTATAAATAAATATTAAAATAACGACCAGATGAATAGAGAGGGATACCTTTATCATCAAACTGAATGGTTTGTTTCTCTGTGGAGCCAGAGTAACAGACAACTTTTGTTTGTTTGGAATCATCACTGTACATGATAACCAGGAGGTCACCAGAGGAGGTACTACAGACACCGTCAGGTATCCAGTTCTGTAGTCTGATCACCTCCTCTATCTTCTCATTCTTCACAATGTTCACAGTTTTATCACTGTAATAACTATAAACCAGATCTCCACTTTTTGTCACTGCTATGTCAGTTGGTCTGTTCCCTGACTTGGTTGTGATTGACTTGAGTAGTGATCCCTGATTGATGCTGTAGAGTTTCATGGTTTTGTCGTCTGCAATTGTCCAGATTTCTTTATCACTCAGACAGGCCACATTGTAAAGGTATCTGTCATACCCAGTGTCTATGGTGGTGACAGTCTCTGGTTCATCAAGCAGCTGTTTGACTGGAGGAGAGAATCCAGCTTCTTGTGATTTCTGTTTTGTCTTCATGCTGTAGCCATGTTTATCTGATGTTAAAGAACTTGATGATACAGTTCCAAACAATTTGCTGAATTCTGCTTGGATTTTTCCTGGAGCAAATTTAGGTAAGGAGGGAACCAATTTTTCTGGAAGATTTCTGTGTCTGTCTATTTCAGACCTGACACTAAATAATTTTGAAATGTTATTAGAATTTACAGCAACATCCATTGAATCAATTTCATCCTTGATGTCAGACATTGTCTTGTTTATTTCATCCAGATGTTTCTGTAGAGTTTGTAACTGTGTGTTTTTTATCTCATCAACTTCAGCTTTAAGTTTCATGACAAGTTTGTCAATTTCTCTGTGCCAGTCCTCTCCATGTTTTGTTATGGCTGTTGAGAGATCTCCATATTCCTTTTGTAACTGACTCATTCTGTTTTGTACATCGGAGGCAATATCCTCGTAGGTTGGGTAAATTGTCTCTTTTAATTCAGTTTGTTCTTTTAAAATCTTATCTTTTTTTTCATCAAGAACCTGTAAAACTTTTAGTAATTTGTGACCTAGATGTTTATCTGAAGTAAGACAGGTGGCACACACAGGTATGTCACATTGTTTACAGTACATTTCACATCTCTCTTTGTTATGCGATTTACATACAGGGTAGAGGGGAGTGGATTTTCTAAGCTGGAATGGAACAATTTCATGTCTTTTGGTTTGATCAGATATCATGTGTTCTCCCACACATGCCTTACACAGGTTGACAAGACATGTATCACAGTGCATCTGTACCACAGCAGTTTTACACAGGTCACATCGCATCACGTCCTGGGCACTGGTACGGGGGTCCATATTGAAACTATAGGCCTAGTATAGACTGAAAAAAAAATGTTAATGTATTTTCTCATAAAACCAGTTACCTCAATAAGACACGATAAAGTTAAAATAAATAAAAAAAAAATAATGTGTGTTTAATGTACTTTTCAAGTCATGGAGGAATAAAAGAACGCAGTTGTAGCATTTTTATAAGGGTAAATATTCAAAAGAACACAAAGTTCTGTGAATTGTATAAAGCAGAGTTGTCTTTTCTTGTCACCCTTACACAGGTTGGGAACACATCCCCTTTAGCGAGATCATCTCGCTATAGCGCGATTATCCCTCTGTAGCGGGAGAAAATACATCTCGGAAAACCGAGATTTGTACCGAGATTCAAACTGTAATCGAGTTAACTTCTGAAAAAGGAAAATCAGGGAGTATGTTAACCCATGTGATAAATATTTACTGTCTCATCTCAATAAATGTGCTTCAAAATATTGCCTCTATAGCTGCAAATCATGGAAATTAATATAAGTTTATTAACAATAGCGTAGACTTCCTACGGAGGACCACAGGTGATAATTATCAGTACAACTAACTTACCTCGGTTATACAGTTATTGTAATTGCATGTTTACCATATTTCTTTTAATACACCTGCTTGAAAAGCGGGAGTATATATACAGCATGATATAGTGATGGGGTGTCCGTCACTTTAGACTTTCCATAGGGCATGACGATCTCGACACGAAGTCTGTTTGGTGACCTATAAATTCCAAATCGCCTGATTGATTGATATAAAGTCCCACCTTCTTACTGTAAGAAGCACACTCATTGGTTCTTTGCTTCACTCGTCAGAGTTTCAAGGATCTTCTAACTGATACATGTATATTATTAAATTTTTCTGTATATTTTACCCGTGAAAATAATAAGTTCAGTGTCAGTTTTAAATTCTCGTCCTACGTAAATTAATTAACCATAGAAAATATTTTATTCTTTACTA